TATATATATATATATATATATATATATATATATATATATATGTACATATGTATGTAGATATATGTATGCAAGTAGGAAATGTTCGATATCGTTTTCTCAGATCAATTACGTTAATGAAACGTATTCAATTGAAAGACATTAGTACATATAGAATGAGCTCTTACGCTTTTACTATATGTTACTATATGTTACAAGGAATCATTTTCCTTCAGATGAGATTACGTTATACGTATGTATCTTTATATTTCACAATAATTTAATAATTTAATAATTCTGTAATAAGATTAATGTACATATGTATGAAACTTCCAACATATTTATAGATACATGCCTATAGATGTCAGGTCGATATTACCCGCCAAATTTATGGCCATGATTGTTAGGTTAGTTCTTAGAATTTGTGATACGACTGAAACATAAAGTATTTATTATATATTCGTCTCCTTAAAATTCGATTATATCGTTATTGTACATTCCTTGAAGATTAAATTTTTGATGAAAATGGCCGAAAATGATTACGATGATTACGTAAAAAAAAATATAGCCGAAAAAAATGCTATCGTAAGTACTTTCGATTTAAATTTCTAACCTAGCAACCGGTATATTTGCATTTAACTTTTCAGTTTGCCGAGATTTTCAATGATTCAGAAGAGAAAACGAACGAAATAAAGGAACTTGAGAAAAAATACAATGACGCGAAAGATGCAAAAAAATCTAGATCTAGAATTCGATCTATTGACAAGTTTACAATTAAACGTTCGAAACTTGATTTTTGTAAGAAGTATAATACTAGAAGTAGATCAAAGAGTATTTCTGAAAATAAAGAAGAAGAAAAGGAGAACAATTTGACTGAACCTGGAAGTAGTAAATTGTTAGTTTTATTTCCGTGGACAAAACCATTCCAACAATCAATCGATTTAATGAAAATGAAAGTTTGCGATGCAGATGAAGAGCAGCACAACGATGATAATTTGTCTAAAACAATTAAAAAACGAATTTACAATATGAATAGAGTTACTTATAACTTAGATTACATACCGTCTGTCGATGAAATTACAGATGAAATGCTAGATAATGTTGCAACTAAATCTTCTTTGAAACAATATTGTAAAGTTAATGGATTATGCTGTCATCAATGTAGACAGAAAACATTAGATACGAAAACTGTATGTCGTTCAGGAGAATGTTTTGGAATTAGAGGACAATTTTGTGGACCTTGTTTAAAAGGCAGATACGGCGAAGACATTATTGCTGCATTAAAAGATCCTGTATGTTTTATATTTTCATATATATATTTATATTTATTTATTTTTTCTTATAATTACTATTTTTAGAACTGGGCTTGCCCACCTTGCCGTGGTTTATGTAATTGTAGTATATGTAGAACGAAAAGTGGTTTATGTCCAACTGGAATCTTAGCACCAATAGTGAAAGAAGAAGGATACTCCTCGGTTATGGATTACCTACAATTTGCCGAAACAGATGATACATAATTTTTAGTGTTACAAAATTTATAAGATTAAATAATTGAATCTTGATGAA